ATCCATGATGGATTTTTTGAAAATTTGTTAATTTTTTTTTTAATCCATATTATTCAAAGAGAAAATGAGAGAGATGATGATTCTGAGGCCACCCTATCCCAGCCATATTATTAACATATCGAGTCCCAACAGCAACAGTGTAGGGATGAGCACGACAGTGCAGTGAGAATGAAGGATGAACAATCTTCGGGGATTTTAGATTCGGAACACAACAAAACACTAACACATAGGGATTTGGGAATAGTCAGACGCCTGTTAATATCAATGATTCGTTTTTAGATCGAATCAATGAATTGTTAAACGAATTCAATCAATGGCACCAGCGTGACCAAGAAGAACAATAACGTCGTCTATCATTTTATTTTTAGATCATATGTTACTAATTTTATGCTTTATTGTAGTCCATGTATGTTGATATACTTATTCCATGATAATTATATGTTTATCCTTTTGTGTGATGTAAATTAAATGCTGAATGGCGGTTCATGCAGGGAAAGAACATATCAATATTCGCATGTTCATTAAAAAACATGAAAATTCTTAATGGAGTACCCTCATTTTTTATTGAATTCCTAAAAAACAATATTTATAATGAATTTTAATAATTTTTTCGAATTTTTTTTAAGTTTTATTTTGATCGATTCACCCAATTCCCGGTCCGAATTGCCGATTCTTTGATCCGGATCGGTTTTTTAAAGACCCGATCCGGGTCACCATCCGTTTTGTAAACAACCTTATAAAAACCAACCCTTTATTAAATATCTTTATTAAATAGTGACAAGTAAAGGTATGTTTAGGGCATTATCTCGTCGCGTTCCCAATCAAAGATATTCTTCACCAAATGCACGAATGGAAAATGTCTTCTTGAAACCCTAATTTTGTCTCTTCATAGTTCCAGATTTTTCGGGTTTATTATTGTAACTTATTCAGATTTCTTGGGTTTATAGAGCCTTTCTTCAAGCTCACAATTTCTAGGTTTTCTATGTGATTTCAGATTTGTAGGTAAGTCTTTCAATGGCTCAAAGAATCATTCAATATTTGCCATTATCACGAATGAATCCATGAATTTTCTGTATTTTTTCAACGGTTTTTCTGTATCTTTATACCCATCTTGGCATTCTATGGTTATCAAGTTTGCAGTCGATGCAAATCTAGGGTTTTGATGGGTTTTGAGCTCCAATGGAATTCTTCTTTATTGAATTATCTGGATCTGGAGGGTGCCCATCCTAATACTATGGCTGAAGAATTAGCGTTGCAAGTTGGTGTTAATGCTGAGGTTTCGAGAAATGAGGGAAACGAGGATTACCAGAAATTGACTCCTTCTGGCCGATATTGGGTTCGTAACACTAGTCCTTCTCGCCAAAAGACGGTCAGAACCAAGCCAAGGGGTCTTGATGAAGAAACCTCAGCTAATTTTAGCAGAATTGTTCAGGTTGACATTCGAATGGATGATAACATTTGGGGATCATTGCCTGATGATATTTTGATTGAAATCCTTGCTAGGCTCCCGCCTTTCACTCTCTTCAAGCTTCGATCTGTGTGCAAAGCATGGAATTTGATCCCTAGAAACCCTAGTTTCCTTAAATTCCACGCTCGTGCACCATCCCATGGTCCATGCCTTCTTACTTTTTGGAAGAATTTGCAGATGCCCCAATGTTCAGTTTTCAGTATGCCATTAAAGGCCTGGTATCGCCTGCCCTTTAGCTTTTTGCCTGATTGGATCTTTTGGCTTGTAGGTTCATCGGGTGGTTTGGTTTGCTTCTCAGGTTTAGATGGGTTAGACTTCAAGACCATTGTCTGTAATCCTCTTACACAAACTTGGAGAATTCTCCCTAATATGCGTTATAATCAACAGAGACAATTGATCATGGTGGTTGATCGTGTAGATGGTTCCTTTAAGGTTATTGCTGCTAGTGATATATACAATGACAAGGCATTACCAACTGAAGTTTTTGATTCAAAGCTAAACAGTTGGTCACTGAATCAAATTATGCCGGCTGTGAATCTTTGCTCATCGAAAATGGCATTTTGTGATTCAAGGATTTACTTAGAGACTCTCTCTCCTTTGGGGCTAATGATGTATAGAATTGATACTGGGTGTTGGGAGCACATACCAGCAAAATTTCCAAGGTCTCTACTTGATGGGTATTTAGTTGCAGGGGCAAGATCACGATTGTTCTTGGTAGGAAGGATAGGACTTTATAGCACTCATCAGAGTATGAGGATTTGGGAATTGGACCATGTTAGGACAATGTGGGTCGAGATAAGTAGAATGCCTCAGAGATACTTCAGGTCTTTGTTGAGGTTATCAGCAGAAAGATTCGAGTGCTTTGGGCAAGATAATTTAATATGCTTCACTTCATGGAACCAGGGCAAGGGGCTCCTTTATGATGTGGATAAGAAGGGGTGGTCGTGGATTGCTGGTTGTGCTCTTCAGTCATGGAACAGCCAAGTCTGCTTTTATGAACCCAGGCTTGATGCTTCCGTGTTCTAGGAATTGTTGTTGTAAAGACAGAGAAAGGGCTATCACGGGGTGTAATATATTTATCTGATATCTTGAGCTTGGGCCGTGACATGAGCTCTTATGAACAAAGTTCCAACACATCTATATACTAGGAATTGATGTTTGAACAATGTAAAGGGACTTTGGTGTTGGCTGTGGGGTGTAACATTATTTGTTTAATTTATCAAAGGGAGAATACCATTCTCTTGTTTCAAGGATGTCTGGTGTAGCTTGGGGTTCTAATGAGCTGCATAACTTTAATAGTCAAAGGAAAATAAGCTGCACTATTTGGGGATATGAAATTCACTTTTGTTGAGGGGGAGGAATACATCTAGTTATGTGACTGCCATGGAGACATGTAGAAGACCAGGAATTCACTGGGCTTTATGTTTCTTGATTGTGGGTCTGGGATATAAGGATTCACTTTCTTGGGCAAGAGTTTCAGCTTAGTCTCGTGGTCCAAGAATTGCATCTTTTTGTAAGTTTTCATTTGTTTTAATAACTTGTAATGCTCGTTAAGCAATCCATTGTTCAATAAATTTGAGTTGCATTTAGTTTGTACTCTTTTTCTTGGTTGATAAGCTTGGGCTTGCAATGTGAAGTCTAATGGTTGGGTACTAAGGCGTCCATCCAATGTTCGACATTCCTCTTGATGTTCTTAATGGTACTTTCTGTCATGTACTATTCATCTCATTGATGTCTCTAGAAACATGGATTCAGCTCCTTTAGATATTTTATTATTTTTCTATATTTTAGATTTACTTCATGTTTAATCAAGATTGTTACATGTTGATATTTTTTTCCTGCAAGACATCTAATTTTGTAACTGAAATTTTGTGACTGTTTGGATGTGAAATATCTTTATGGTTTACTTCCTCTTTCTGTGTTCTGGACCATGTAACATGGTTGGGACTTTTGACAGTTTCTTATGGTATGACCTCCATCAGTTTTGGATCTCATTTGCCCCTGAAGTGTGTATTTCATGAAATTGTTTATGAAATTGTTTATGATTACTTGTTCATTTCTAGTTTTGCGTTTCTTTTGTTACTTGTTATTTTGGAAATTGGAGAGCTTGAGTTTGAGATTACCACTTCCTCTTATTACTTGTTCTTCTAGGGGTTTGAGTTGATACAATTTAATTCTACATAATTTTAGTTTTTAACTGGATGTGCACTCGGTTTTTTTTTTTGGGAAAGTTGGATGTGCATTGTGCTAAAAGTACCTAACGCCCTTTAGAATGCCTCTTAATTTGATTTCTATTTAGGTGATTATTCGCAGCTTCACATGGTCCTTCAGTCATTGAAAGAAGACATTGGTACTGTTCTATATATTTCATAATTTCATCATTCCTTCAGTGTTACTGGTTTTTTCTTTTGACAGGTACAATTTACCGGTTTCCTTATAGCTTGAGTTATTCACAGTACTTTGATTGCATTTATTAACGGTTTTCTTGACAGTGGACATGGGAGTAGTTTTGGGATATCATCATACTGGAAATATATGGACAACTGAATTTTATTTGAATTTGTTTTTCATCTAAATCACGAATTTTGTGAGGATTTCTTTTTAAACACTTCTGGTTTAAGTTGCTGAACTCCTTTTTTTGCTTGGTTACTATATTTCCACTTTAGGGTAGCGGCAAGTCTAGTTGCTCAAGATAATCTTTAGGACTAGAAGGTTATCTTTGGGGCACGTAGCTTGTCGTGCCAGCGATTTATTTCTTATTGTTCTGTTTTAGACCCATCGTTGGATGTATTGAGAGAATAAAGTTTGGTTGTACTTTGTTATGATGCTAATTTAGTATGCATTATCAAAAACCAAAAAAAAAAAAAAGAACGAAAAAGGTAGTGATGTGATGTCATTAGAAAAGATCCTTGTAGATAATCGGGAACATGATTATTTGATTAGTTAACTGTGCAGAGTTTTGCTGATAGATGATGAAAGTGGAACTCAGAGACAAAAGTTACGTTTCTTTGAGAGAAATTTTTTGTCAAATAGTTTTGTTACTGTTGATTCAATCCCAATAATAGACTCAGATATCTATGATGTTTGATTCTGGGCCATATGCCACTTTGACTTTAATAGAATAAGCAATCTTGTATAGTTTCACTTGATGCAAATATATCTTTGCTATCACAACATACTATTATATATATATATATATATATATATATATTTGCTATCACCTTAAAAACTAGATTGCTCCCATGTGAAAAATGCCAAGAGAAGTTAATACTAACTTGACATTCCTTTATCAGGGCTATTTACTATGTAAACTTGGAATTAATGCTGGTAAAAATAAATGAACAATTTCAGGAAGGGTTTCCCTTACCCCATATCGATAGTAGTGCACTTGAGAATGGATGACTTGCAAAAGTAGATGAAAAGGAAACGAGAAATGAGAAAGGGGAAAAGTAACGCATGGGGAAATGGAGGGGATCTGAAGATGGTATGGGAAACATGGCCATAGGTAACAGTTCTAGGATGATTTTTGCATCCGTAGGTTTTGCCAACCATAGGGAAATTATTTCGTATTCTTTTGATTTTCTCTTGGTGTATTTCCTGGGGACATGTTCAGGTGTTTGCTTCTGTAATTTTTCGCCACTGGTAAACTATTTTTGAGTCATTTGTGTGCAGGCATGTGGATATTTGAAGAGTATATCTGAGTTTTTTTTTTTTTGATAAGTGTAGTACATCTGAGAAATTGTGGATGAGATTGTATCTGAGAATTTTTTTTTTTGGAAAGTGTAGTACATCTGAGAAATTGTTGATGAGAATGTATAGCTTGACTCAGAAATGCAGGGCATGCTAAATTTTGAGAGAGTTTTAACATTTTTGAATCATGTGAAAACTGAAAGCCGGTGTTAAAACACGAGAATGTTTAGCAGACATGGTCCTATTTCTGATGGTCAAGGAGAACGAAAAGAAACCACAATTCAGTGATGCTAGATGTTGACAATTTTTATGTAGTGTGGTAGTTCTGCCCATACTTCCTGATAGATTTTGAGTTAATTCGTGATAGATTTTGAGTTGGATGAAGCTTGGACTGGTGGAGAATCATGAAAGTTCACTTTACGTGAAAGTTGATGAAGATGTTCCTTGATTTAAATTAGGCGATCATTCTTTGATGTTGTGGAAGGTGCATAAGTCTAGTTTAAGAATTCCCACCTCTTAGAATATGAAATTCTTTATCAACGATTATCGGGATGATTATAGATTCGGATTCAGGCTGTCTTTGATGGTTACAATGTTGACCATTGCACACCAAATCCTAAGTTCATATCCCATATGAACTATCCCAACGGAGAAAGGAAAATGGCAAATGAAATTCGGATGTACAAACTAATTTTTAAAGTTGACACTGTTACTAGGTGTTCACTCCATGGGATTTGATAATGTTTTAAACAACGGTCCGCCCGGTGCCTAGGCGGCCTGGATCAAAATACCGCACGCTCAGACCCAGGCGGCCCTACACGAGTGGATGTACCTAAGGAGGTACCCAAGTGGGTCAGGCGAGTTCTAGGCGGGCTCCCAGGCTCGTGGTTTTTTTTTTAAAAAAAAAATACACAAAAGGAAAAATGGGGTAATTTCGATGTTGAAATAGGTTATGGGGGTTTCAACCTCCAAAGTTAAAAGAAAAATACCATAACCCCTCAATCTCTTGGCTATTCCTCTTTCTGAGAATCAAAAGTATTTTTTGTGGTTTGAAGAACCTTCCTAAACCTTTTCACTTATTATGAAATACAGAGAGTTGGAGACTATTACTGATACATATCCTATTAGACTTTTAAATTTTGTATGATTTGCATTTTGAAATTTTGAACAAATTTATTCTGAACATGCGATATGTCATATTTTTGTACATAAAAAAATATGTTACAATATTTTCAAATGTAATAAATTATAAAATTGACACAAATATATGTATATATATTACATATCAATATAACTTGTACAACAGGGCGCTGGGTGCCAGGCCAGCTGCCTAGCGTTTTTTGAAACCTTGAGATTTGAAAGGAAAAAATGGAACACTCGTTGCATTGTGTTGATGAAACATGCATTGTTCAATCTCGCTACTATTGATAATGCACTTGATGAAGAGTATATGGATGACATTTCGATACATAATAGTGATCTAATAATACAATTTCTAGAATGGAAGAGGACAATACGAGGTCGATTCTTATTTGAACCCATCAGATTAAAGAAGAGAAATAGAAATAAGAAGATGTGAGAGAAGGAGCAGATTCGACTCAAAGAGAGAAAAGAAAGAAAAGTACAGCAGGTAGACAATAGTGTTCTTTCTTTTTCTCTTATTTTAGGTTTTGTACAGTTCCTCTATAGTTGTGCTAGCTCACGAACGCCAATTGGATAGCAGTCATCTGTCGGTGATTCCCCATAACATCTCTCTGCTATGATAGAATTAACAGCACTCGTTGGGTGAAAAGCATCAAAGAAGACATATTGGTCCCTGTTGTTACATGGTGGCTGGAGGGGAAGGCATCTCAAGTATCCTCCATATCTCCCCAGTCCACAGCAAGCTGTGTTTCCGTATGTGAATCCTGAAACCCCATGCATGACATAGAAAGAGAGATGCGTTTATATGAATTTCTAAATGAACAGCAAAACGGAGCTGTGAGTCTGTGTTTGTGTAAGTGTGTGTCAATATTGAAATTCTATTTTATTTAAGCTCTATCTATTGAAACTTTTTAGCTGAATCAATTTTTAGGAAAACGTTAGATGCATATTAATTCTTGGAATTGAAATTCATGACGAACCTAAGTATCATGTATGGATTCATTGACGAAAAAATGCAGAACTAAATAAAGAGATGTAGGGTGAATGGTTGATCAGATCGAACCATAGCTTGAAGGGTTGGTCACAATGTCCAATGTGATTGAATACGCATTTTGATAAATAAAGAAGGATTCCGGCAGAGTAGAATTGAGGGTGTCGATGAGGTCGAACAATCGATCGTTAAACCCTAACACCAAGTCATTGACGTTATCAACACAGCTCCCATTGTTGTTAACCATGAATATTTGGCTGGGTAAGCATCCTAGTGGCCCAACTCCCACTACCACCATTTTCCTTGCACCTAAACCATACAACCTCTGTGAAAATTGAAACAAATGGAAGTAAGGGACTAATATCTAATGCCCCAAAAAGATTTACTTATGTCAATCAGTATCTTAAAGTTAAGCCTCTAAAGAGAAAAAAATGCTAATCTCCACAAGGCTAAAAATATGGTTTATCTTTGTAAGTGGGGCATGGTGTATATCATAAAGTTTGAAAAACTTCCTTTCGTACATTAAATCTAATCAATATGGCAATCCGAACCATTTAGTTTCAAATCCAACAGCTAGGGTTGATCGTGATCTTATGCAAAAGGTAAAATGATTTTATTATACACTTTTTCAAGTATACTATTTATGGATTATTTGATACTTTTCTTTGGACTTCTTGTTTTAAATCTTTTTAAATCATGAGATATGCACTATTTTTTTGTGCTTCAAAATCATAATTCTGTAGTACAATGCAACCTAGAGGCTATAAGATGGTTTTCAAATCTTGAATCCACCTTTAAGATTGATTCATAATAAAAAAAATATACATGCTAAAATTATAAAAAATCCATAACACAGAGTTAGTTGTTCCCTAATACCCCCTTCTCCACACTTGTAATCCCTTATAATTTTTCATCTAATTTGTGAGCATAAACTTAAACCACAAAAATACATATGAAGATGATAGAGATTACCCTTAATTGTTGGGAGTAGGTATTGATGAGGAGGTCAGCAAATGCATCAGGAGAATATACACGGCTGCTGTCATACAATAAGGGAAGAAGATAGTTGTTTATGTAGTCGTTTCCTGCAATCCCCACTACAAAAATGCTTTCGGACAAATACAAAGATAGGGTTTCTGCACTTTCAAGCAGTACAGGTAAATCCACCTTTACAGTCTTCTCGAAAAGGTTCAATTGTTGGTTAAGAGAAATGCGTGAGCCCTGAGTAAGAGAGAGAGAGAGATTTGAGTAATACAGTATGCTGATCATGAAACATAGGGTGCACCCATATAGACAAGGAAATGTGTTTGGTCCATTTGCATACTGGTGTGTGCATCCGCGTACTCATGTGTCATCGTTGGTTTATGAGTTTGAAGCTCTAAAAATGATTCAGTCGAGATGGTTTAAGAAAAATTGGAATGAATGGTCTAGAAAAAAGATTTCTAGATGATCAATTTTCAGTAATCAAATTTCATTATTCTTTTTTCTTCTTTTAGATTCATGGTCAGGGAGGTTGACGTGATAGATACATAGAATTCTCAATTATCAATTCATCAACAAAATAGATTTTGGAAGGGCACATTTGGTACATATAAGAATATTTCCGTTGAGTATTTTCACATGAAAAAGACTCCCTGATTTGATATGGGATTTTTTTTCACATTAAATGGCTGTCAAATTGATGTGAAAAGTATGAAAAAACTCCCACATCTAGTCCATTGAGAGTTTTTTGGCATGAAAATGCTTTCATGAAAATATTATCACACATACCAAACGTGCCTGAAGGCTTGACACATGAGTCCATACCCCTAAGTGGAACTTATCTTAAGGGCATCAAAGATACCACTCTTGGCAGATCATGAGCATAAAGCCTGAACTCATTCAGAAAATTTTCCCTAAATACAATTGCAGAGAGAGAGAGAGAGAGAGAGAGAGAGAGAGAGAGAGAGAGAGAGAGAGAGAGAGAGAGAGAGAGAGAGAGAGAGAGAGTAGTAGTAGAGTAGTAGTAGTACGTAGTAGTACGTAGTACGTAGTACGTAGTACGTCGTAGTTACGTACGTAACGTACGTACGTACGTACG